AGCGTGTCCTGCTTTGTGTCCCCTCAGCTGCACAGCAGGTTTTGCTGAAGAGGGCCCACAGGAGGTCTCACCTGAAGAGAGCAATTTAGGCTGGCCCAGAGGTTTCCCCTGACCAGTGTGCGCCTGCCTGGGCACTTTTCTCCTTGTTCTGATATTGTTGATGGTATTTTCCTCTCTGCCAGGCTACCTGACCTATCCATTGTCATCATGTGTGACTCGAAGCTGCCTGGCACCTTCCACATGGATGAAGTGCTGCAGGCTGGGGACAGCAGCCACCTGAAGCAGCTCAGGGCCGTGCAGCAGACGCTGTCCTGCAATGAGCCCATCAACATCCAGTTCACTTCGGTGGGTGCTCTGCCAGCTCCATGCCTGGCTTGGGTTCCTCACTGGGAGCAAGGGGAAAGATGTGTGCAATGCCACACGTCACGTTTTCCTCCTGTTTCTCTTTGGGACCAAGCTTCCAGCTTCTGCAGTAGGATGGAAAAAGTGTTCCGCCGTTTCCCCTTCTTCCATTCTTTTTGTGTAGCCTTTTGTCAAGGGCTGCTGTAGATGAGACGGTGCACTCTGAACTCTGTTCAGCTGAAATTGGGCTATTTTTTGGGATTCAGGTGCTGTTAAAAAGGTAAAAACAGGCTCCCAGGTCTGATAGGAGAAAAAAGAGCAAGATCACCCCAGAGTCTGCCAGGGGGAATCTCCCCTGAGCTCACCCTCAGAAAAAGTGGTGTTACTGCATAATTCCCTGTGTCTTCCAGGGAACAACAGGAAGCCCTAAAGGAGCCACCCTCTCCCACAGGAACATTGTGAACAATGCCAATCTGGTTGGTCTGAGGCTGGGTATCACAGACCAGGTGGGTTTGGTGGAACAGGGTTTGGGGGGGCCCCCACTGCAAGGGACTGAGCACGTGTGGAGAGTGCTGGTGTTCACTCAGTGGAAGGGAAGGATGTTTTGCTGCTAATGACATTGAGGGATATTAATGCATTACATTTTGCATTTCAATGGAGTTCCTTGATCTTTCATTGTAGTTTCATGTGAAGCTTTTTTTTAGGCAAAAAAGCTATCTTTTTCTGGGGGAAAACCATGAAATTAATCACTTTTCATTTTGGTGAATACTCATTTCAAATAATTACAAGACTCTGGATATTAGCTTTTAATTCTGTTGACTAAGGTTTTAATTTGATTTACATGACTTGGTTTCATGTCATATTTACAGTCTTATAACTCTTATCAGGGTATGACCTCTCTTTTTGTGGGTTCTTAAAAAAAGGTTAAAGACAAATATTTTCTTTTGAAGTTCTCAAGTACTTATTTCTAACACATCAGCTTTGATCCAGAGAATAGATGAGTTGTTTCAATCAGTCTTCAGAGCCTTTTGTGATTTTAAAAAAAAAGAAAATAAAATGAATAGCATGTGCCAAGTCCTGCATATTTCATGCCTCTCACAGCACTCCCATTCGTCTCTTTTGGTGTATAATGTATAAGCAATAGCAGACCAAGGAGTCCAGCAAAGAAGAGACATTGCAAAATTACGAGATGAAATATTGACACAAAAAACTTCCCAAACTGATTTATATTAAAGGCAGGATGTGTCAGTTGTGTTTTCACCCAACAGGAGCACAGCAGAGTGTCAGATTTCCAGCCAAGGGGATCAGGAAAAATGTCACTGCTCAGAGCTTTGCTCCTGAGCAGGGAGCTGGGCTGGGCACTCGCTGGGAGCTCTCCTCTCCTCTCTCACTGTTCTCTGGTCGGTCCCAGGAGAGTCGCTCTGGGCTCCCTGCGCCTCTCTACCACTGCCTGGCGTCGGTGGGAGGCTGCATGGTGATGGCTCTGCACGGCACCTCCTGCGTCTTCTCATCGCCCAGCTTCGAGGGCAAGGCTGCGCTGGAAGCCGTGTCTCGAGAGAAGTGAGAGCCCCTTTTGCTAAGGAGCAGCTCTTGGCCTCGTGGCTCTGCTCCTTCCCTTGCCTCACCTGTCAGCACCTGGCTTGTGCTCTTCCTTCCCACAGGGGGAGAGGCAGGTTTGCTGCTGCACTCAATTGCACAGGCACTTCAGGAGCCAAAGTCTGCCTTTTCAGCTGTGCTTGGGAGCGTCACCCTTCTCCTGAATTAAGGAATCCTTCCTGTCACCATAGGGCTTTGGCTGGGAAGCATAGCAGTGTCTTGGTTTGCTGTGGCTGCTGTGTTTTCACAACTGAACACCTGCCCTCCTTTTCCAAGTCCAGCTCTGCTGCTGGGATGGTGTTCCCATACTGTTCCTCAAGTATAGCTTGGGAAACAAAAGAGCTGTTGCTGTGTCTGCATCATACATGTACATATGTCTCTGTGTTTTATGCAGATGTATGTCTGTGTGTGCTGGTGAGCAGCACATCTGCTGTGCCTGCCTCCGTGCTGCTGCTCTGCAGCCCCAGATGGGACAGGATGGGATGGGACAGGAGGGGATGGGACAGGATGGGATGGCTGCTGAGCTGGGGCTGCCCCCAGTTTCCACCTCTGCAGCTTTGCCTTTTTATCCCTTCTTCCCCAAGATGCTCCTTCCTCCTCGGCACACCCACCATGTTCATAGACATGCTCTCCCAGCCGGACTTCGACTCCTATGACCTGTCAACTCTCCGGGGAGGTAAGTCCCAGAATTCAAATGGAAAAATCCTGAGAACCAGGATATTCCTGGTTCCCTGCTGGGAGGCCGTATTTTTAGTTTTGTGAGCACACATCTCTTCTGGTGGGAAGAATTTAGTTGCATGAGCCTTGTGTTTCCCCTGTTAATTTGATGCTACATTTCTTTTCCTTGGGGAATCCTTCCATCATTATGTATTTTAGGACTCCTTCATCTGAAGGCAGCCTAGGGAAGGACCTTTCTATTTTAACTGCAAGGGGAGGTGTCAGGAACAGCTTGATTTTCCCTGTCTCTCCAGCCACCACCATGTGGCAGCAGATGCTTTCTGTGTCTCAGACTAGTGCAGTCCATAAAGCAGAGCCCAGCTCGGATTTCTTTCTCAGGCCTGAAGTTTCCTGCCTGTTTCTGAAGTCATTCATCCCCGTGCTGGAGGGTGTGATACCATGTGCTGGAACTCCCTCTCTTGTCACAGCCCACCTTGGAAATAGCTGGGCAGACCACCAGTCCTTTTGAGGCAATGATAGTATGGAGAGAAGGTGGTGCTGGAGCATAAGAAAATATTTTAGCAAGTTACCTAATCATCTCTGCTATGTGCAAAATGATCCTGTCTCATCCTGTTTCCCACCAAAGCCCATATATTACCCCACTCTTCTGCTCTGTCATCCTAGTTGGAACAGGTGGCAGTGGGAATTACCCTCTCCCAAAAGGGCTGCTCTGTGCAAGGCAAGAGGAAAGGTTTATGGTTTTATGGTGGTGATCAATGAGAGTGTTTGTCCCACTATAAAACTGTGCCTCTTTCTGCTATGAATCTTTCTATTTTTGGAGAAATGTAGGTTGGACTAGGTTTGAGTTAGAGAGTTTATTTTCCTGTTGAGAAAGGCAAATTGGCCTTGCTGCAGCCTTTGCTTCTAGAACAACTAGGGCCTGTATCAAAAGATTTAGGAAGTATTTTGACAGGAACCAGTGTATCCCACAGATCTTGTCAGCATTAAATCTGGGAGTGGAGAGCCATTTGAGGGACCACTCCTGGGAATAAATAGCTGGTTTCCAAGGTATTTTCCTATTTCTTCCAGGAATTATTGCAGGTTCTCCTGTTCCCCCTGAGATCATGAGGACAATTATCACCAAGATGCACATGCCAGAGCTTGTGGTGAGTTGTGGTGGCTGTGACCAGACCTGCAAGGGGTGTTTGCCATGGTGAGACACCAAGTTTGGGTGTCTCTGGACCACGGTGGTACCTGGTGGTCCTGGAGCTGCTGGGATCAGGCTGAAGAGGGAGGGCTCAGAGGACCTGGCAGACAGAAGTGGGGGTTCTGCCTGTTGCTGCTGAGGTGTCTGGGGAGGAAGCTTTGGAAGAAGACAAGGCATCACATTCAATGTCATTAAGTGAAATTCTGCTGCTCATTTCAAAACTTTTACTGACACTCAGTTGTACACACTGCCAGGATTATGGTGGCAGAGGCAGTGCTGGTTCCTGTTGGTGCAGGTGGATGCTTGTACTCCTCTTGGTGTAGAGCTGTCAAGTTTCTTTCCCCATCCTGGGTTTCCTGTGGATGTAAAACCTCATTGTGTGGTTTTTGTCGTGCCCGAGTCAGGTCGTGGGGATGGTGCCATCCACATGTGCTGCACCAAATGCTGCACTGCCAGCAGGGCAGTGTGTGCTGGGCCACGTGTCCTGCTGCCCCAGCACACTGCCACCACCCTGGGCCTGTGCAGGAGCCACCAGCACGTGCTGCATGTGGGGGACAGGCCACCAGCCAGGCTGCACATTTCCTAGGCATGTCCTGCCATCTGCATGCCAGTGGCTGAGCCAGAAAAGGACTGTTTTGTTTTGCCCTAAAGTAAATTAATTTGGTACCATGCTGCTTCCCAAGGCTGAGGAAGCAGCCAGTGGTGATGGGTAAACACGTGGGTCTGGGAGTCAGATTAGGCTGTTGCTGTTGGCAGACCCCGAGTGCACCAGCAGTAGGGTTTTACAGGGACAGCTCAGTGCTCTGCCACACACCAGGGGAATCCAGGGCATCCGTCCTGAAGCTGTCTTGGATGCAGCCAGGTTTTTTTCCTGGATATGGTGCTCTTAATGCTGAGCTGGAAACACTAGGGTTGGTGCTGCTGCTTGAGCTCTGTCAGGTGACAGCTACCTATTTTTATAGTAAACTTGAGTTTGGCCTCACAAAATATTTTCAAGCATTACTGTGAGAGCCCAGGACTCATTAGGTGTCACATGTTCCTGTTTTGTAGCAAGAGAAATAATAAAACCCTCCCAAACAGTTGCTCTGCCCATGGGATAAAGAGGATTAAGTCTATATTTGTGCCACTGGTCTCATGTTACTCCTGATCCCTCCAGCCCTCAGACAGACACACAGAGACTTGTTGATTTCATCTTTGCAGCAAGAGCTTTATACAGAAGATGTACATAAGAAAATATACAATTTGATTTCTATATAGGAGGCAGAGGAGTTTTCACCCTCTTAAAGGTAATTTACACTGTTACAGAGGAATAAATAGACATATATTTATATAACTCTTCAGGATTAAAAAACGTAGTTGAATTGCAACTGTGGCATTGAGATAGGTGTGACAATAAACCATAGTCATCCTGGTATCCTGCTAGATCCTCTGGAATAGGGGTAGGAAGGAGAGGAGGGGTGCCTGAGCCAACTGCACCATGCACACCTTCTCCTCTTGGACATCTTGGTGACCCCACCAAGTGGGAGGGAAATCCAATCTTCAGCTGGCTCCAGTTTGGGAGGTTCCCAAATCCCTTAAAGGACTTCTGGCCAATTTTGGGAGATTGCTGCCTCAGGGCCACTGGCTCTTGGTCACTGCTTCACCTGTCCCCTCAGCCCTGGCCTGCAGGGATCCCCTCTGTGGGAAGGCAGGGGAGTCTCTTGGCATGGGTTGAGACCAATTTTCCTTGTCAAGCAGCTGGGGGGAGGGATGCTCCCACCCTCCCGTTTGCTCCCTCTTCTCTGGAATGGGAGAGACAGCACCCAGCTGGTTGATCAGGTGTGTGGGTTATGTTTCTTCTGGGAAAGATGGCTGTGTTTTACCGGCAGGATCTAGCTTAGCTTGTCTTAGTATGGTCATGCATAGTTTAGTTTGTAAAAAGGCCTCTTTTAAAATACATAGATGTCGGAAAAGATTGAGAAGGTGGATTCCATCCTTGTGATCAGCAGAGAAGCAGGGATTCAGAGGAGGCTGCAGGTGTTCATATATATCAGAAGTGCCTCCTGACAGGGAGGAGAAGCTCAAGGAAGGACTCAGAAGTCAGTAGTTTTCTGATGGTTGGAGTGACCGGTCACCAGGACAGGCCATACTGGAGCCTGCTAGCGCTAAAAAAGAGAGAAGACCACACCTTTAAGGGGATTTTTCCAGCAGAGCAGTAAACTTGTAACATTTGTCTATTATTAAATCATTAGATGAAGCCCATACTTGAAGAGTTTGGAGTCAAGGAGCTGTTACAGGTTCCCACAGCAGAGGAAATGGGTTAGTCCTATCTCTGAGCTACTCTGCCAACTCTCTGTGTAACTCCTGATGATCTTACCCAAAGTGCTGATGGTCAAGGAACACCTTATTGGCAAAGGAAGGAAACCCAGAGTGAAATTTTTGAGAGTAGTGGACTCTTTTGATGCCCTGATTCTGAAAATCCAGGGCAGGAGTAGTCTTCTTAGGAACTACCAAGCAGCTTTTCATCTTAAATGCAGCCAGTGACCCAAGTCAGTCCTCATACCTGACCCCTGTATGTGACAGCTGCCTGGCTCTCAAAAGGTACATGATGAAATCAGAGGTGCTTTCATAAAATTCATGCTCACCACACTGGGGTGGGTTTGTGTACCTGCATTCGGGCACTGACACCTGAAGGCACTGAGCTTTGTCTTCTGCAAGACTGCAATAATTCCTATTTCATTAGCATTTGTAAACTTGTTTGAAGGAGCTGGATGAAAAGTGCTACAGAAAAAAAACCCAGGTATTTTTGTCATGGTTTTCTTACTCTCACCATGGAGGAGTGAACTGGTATTGAGTTCAGGCAGGGAAAGAAGATTAAGAAGGGTCAGACCTGTAAATAAACTATGTTTAAGTGGTTTAGAAAAGTGAAGTTTTTCCGTGCTTAGAGCAGAACTTTTCCTGCTCTGTGTGGAATGACTGGTATTTCCATCTCTAATCCATAAAACCCTCTGGCACTATGAGAGAAATAACCACTTTAGAAAGGCACAGAGCAGCTGGCATAATCCCTGACATTTTGGTCATGAATTTCCTTTCTCCACCCTGATGTGCATATCCTTAGTGAAGTGGGGATCAAAAGGCCATACCATGGCACAATGCCCACCTCTCTTCACACAATGCAGTGCAGGATCACTGCACTTTCCTTAACAAATGAGCAAAGGTCCCTTCCCCAAGAGCTTACAAACTTGCAGGCTCGTTTAAAGTCCTCTGGAATCTGTACAAACTCCAGACCTATTTCTGGGTTGGGAAAAAGTAAAATGCTTGGGGTGGAGTGATGACAGTTGTGGCTTTTTTGCTCCTCTGCAGGCTGAACTTAATACCCCTGGTAGTTTCCAGCTGTGGAAGGTGTCTGTGTGATCAGTTTTCACAGTTGGTGTTTGCCTTGGGAGCTGTCAGCAAAAGTTCATCTCTGGAGGGGAAGGCAGCCTGGTCTCTGAATCACCTCCTGGCTCAGGACACCTCACCCAAAGAATATTTGCTGTCTTGAGCCTCCCTCTGTTGGGATACTCATTTGAGGGCAACAACCATTGTTTTTAAATACCTGACTGTCTTGGAGGGAATTGTAGTTGTGGAAAGGGAAGTGCTGGGTCAAGAGCTGCTCCTTATGAAAGATATCTACTTTCCTATGGGCTGGGCAGGACTTCCCAGCAACACCCTGTCCTGGATTTCACACCACACCTGGAGGACCTTTACAGGGCAAAGGGCTGAGCATCTCCAGTTGGTTAGAAAAGTAAAGCTTGTGTGGTCCCAGCTCAGGGTAGGAGTTGGCTAAATCCACCCTTGTTTTGATATATATTTATCCCTTTTGCATAACAATTACACCTTGACTTGATGTGGGGCTTTGGTGTTAGGACAGGGTGCATGTCACCATAGTGCCTGAAGCATGATTGAGGCTTAAACCCTGTTACAGTGTAGGGCTTTTGGTTTTTTTCCTAATGTACAGTGGTTGCTGCAAAAAGAGATTACATTTTTTCCCATGTGGCAATGGAAGGTCTGAAGATTTCAAAATTATTCTGTGTGTATTTTCAGAATCCTTACTTCTCTATTTCATATTTATTTACATGTTTTGCCCTTAATTTCTGCCCCAGGCCTGTCTTTAGCCCTATGTTTTTTTTCACAGAGTTGACTGATGCTACAGGCAGGTCCTCTGCTCTGGGAGCTCATGGAGCCAGGCAATGGCACAGCTCTGAGCAGAGACATCTGTGCGCGGATGGATGAGCTGCTGTGAGCCAAACCCTGCTGGCATTTAAGACTGGTGCCACCAGAGGTGCTGGGGCTGATGTTGCCACTAAAAGGGAACCATCTTACCTGTTTAATGGCGGCTCCCCTTCCTGGACCTCTTGGTGGGCAGCTTGCAGGAGCGGAGGGCCGGGGTGTCCCTGATGGGCTGTCCCCGGTGCTGCACTGGTGTGGAGCAGCTGTCCTCAGCACGGGTGCGGTTGCCTTTCAGCCACCTGTGACACGGGGAGGAAGGAAGAGAGGAGCTCGAAACAGGGGCAAACTGTGGGCATCAGAGGGCAGGGTGGGGAGAGGGCCGCCGGGTGTGACAGCAGTGACAGTGACAGCAGTGACAGTGACAGCAGTGACAGTGACAGCAGTGACAGTGACAGCAGTGACAGTGACAGCAGTGACAGTGACAGCAGTGACAGTGACAGCAGTGACTGTGATAGCAGTGACAGCAGTGACAGTGACAGCAGTGACAGTGACAGCAGTGACAGCAGTGACAGCAGTGACTGTGGCAGCAGTGTCCTGGCCCAGCCCGGGGAGCCCCAGGGAGCGCAGGTGTGACAACAGTGACAGTGACAGCAGTGCCAGCAGTGACAGCGACAGCAGTGACAGCAGTGCCAGCAGTGACTGTGGCAGCAGTGCCAGCAGTGACTGTGGCAGCAGTGCCAGCAGTGACTGTGGCAGCAGTGCCAGCAGTGACTGTGGCAGCAGTGACAGTGACAGCAGTGACAGTGTCCTGGCCCAGCCCGGGGAGCCCCAGGGAGCACGGGTGTGACAGCAGTGACTGTGGCAGCAGTGACAGTGTCCTGGCCCAGCGCGGGTGTGGCGGTGCCGTACTTGCGCAGAGGTGCCAGCTGGCAGCTGCAGTGCCAGGGGTTCCTGGAGATGGTCAGCGTCTCCAGTTTGTCGAAAGGGAAGTTTCGGGGCAGTTGGGTGAGCCGGTTGTTCTCCACGTGGGCCGTTTTCAGCGCGGTCACACCAGCAAACGCGTTGTCTGCAAACTGAAGCACAAAGGTTTCTGGTGAGGAGCGTGGAGTTGGGGAATGGGGACTGCAAACCTGGCAGCCTCTGTTCCAGACTTTGAGCGGCATAAGAACGAGGCACTGGGACTGTTGCCTAGAGGAGTTTTGAGTGTGCTATCCCTGGAAGTGCTCAAGGCCAGGTTGGACAGGGCTTGGAGCAACCTGGTGTCCTTGCCCACGTCAGGGGGCTTGGAAAGGAATGATCTTTAATGCCCATTCCAATCCAGGCTATTCTGTCATTCTGTGAAGCATGGAGAGAGCAAGAGAAGAAGCTGTGAACAGGGAGCTGGCTTGCTAGATGCTCTATACCCTTGAGAGGCAGCAGGATGGTGGGCTCATGGTTGATGGAGTCTCCTGCAGGGAGAGCTACATCCCAAATCCATGTGGAGTTGCCTTTGCAGCCACATCCCTAAATACATTGAAGTCTGGCAACCCTTTTTATTTTTGAGCCAAAATTCTTCATTCTAAATGAAGATATATTCTGGTATATTCCTTTCTAAGGCTGGAAATCCTCCCAAGGCCTGTTGCCTTGCCTGGAGCGACTGAAAGAGGAGTGTTTGTGGCCTCTGAAGGGGCTGTAGACTTTGGCAGTGCCTGGGGGCTCTGAGTGGAAATTTACACTTGGCATTTGAGCAATGTAGAAATACAGGCAGGTTTCCAGCCCTCAGCCTCCTCCATTTTTTCTCATTTCCAGTGGGTTTTTTTGCAAGGGATGCTGTAAAATCTGTGCTTTCTTGGTTGACAGGGAGGCTTTAAGGTAGAGCCTCCCTTAAGAAAGCTGTCAAAAAGCAAGAGAGGCTGTAGACCTGACTCTGCAGCCCTCTCCTCTCTTCCCTGAGGCCTCATCCCTGACGTTTTTCAGCCCATGGTTACTCAAGTTGGAAAGCTGTTGAAAGCAAACCTCTCAACAGGAACTTCCTTGGCAGTGATGGATTGGGGACGGGATCCCTGACAAAGCACAAAGCTCTTCTTAGCTATGACAAACCATTTCTCCCCCTCTCATAGTGGGGAGAAAGCTTACTCTAAAGGTTGGAGGGGACACTCACTAGGAATTCCCAAAGCCCCAGGGGCTGTGCTCCCATTTCTGAAAAGAACCTTGCACTTCTCATGGACCATCGGCATGTGCTCATGCTCTCTAAGCTGAAAAGCTTGACAGAGGAAATGCACTATTTTAAGCTGTGAACTTTTGTCATCTTCCAAATGAAGCGTTGCTGGATGGGATTAGAGCTTAGCTAGGAGACTCCCAGATCCTTGTAGCTGCTGGACAGTCAGCATTGCTGGTCTTCTCCTTCCAAAAGTGGGCTGACCTCAGGAGGCTGGGCTGTGCTGATAGTGGAGCTGCTCTGAGGGATGCTGGCACGCTGTGCAGAGGGGCGGGAGGGCTGGACAGTGGTGTTACTGTCTCAGCTGCTCATTCCTCTCCCAGCCCCATGAGAAGAGTTCACATCTGCTGCTGACAGCTACAGAGCCCTGCCAGACCGTTTGTTTGGGAAGAAAAGGGTGGTTTTTATCCCTTGTTTAGATGGAGGATTACTGCTGTTAAGTTATTTTACACTGAATACACAGACAGGGGTGCCTGTCTCGTGTTGAGGTACAAGGAGGGTCGTGGCCTGTGCAACACAGCCCTGTGGGTCTGGGATGCTGGGGAGAAATGGGAGCTCTGTGCTGGAGCCTGAGCTCCAGCTTTTGCTCAGGCTCTTCCTTTTGCTCAGATGTAATTTAGGCTGGAGTAGAATTGCATGGGTTTATGCTTGATCAGCTCAAAAATCTTGCAGCCATGCAGGGAAGAGCTAAGGACAGCACGTTTGTGAAGGAGAAGGGCTGCAGCAAAGTGCCAGCAGCACTCAGAGCATTTGGTGGTGATTTCCTGGATCACGCGGCCTCTGTGATTAGATGTCTCTTGGCAGTGCAAAGTTCACACGTGGGCTGTTTGGGTATGGGGCCTTTGAGGATTCGAAGGAAAAATGAGCTGGAAACTTTGTATTTGCAAGCCCTAAAACTGCAGAAGCCACCCCTGTGAGTGCTGAGCCCATAAACTGATGTCCTGTTGGGCTGCTGGGGAGGAAAGGAGGCACTGGCTGCACAAGAGCCTTTTAAGTTCCTATCCACAGGTGGTCACTGTAAAAAAAAAGAAAAAGTCCTTTTTGCTGGCTAGAATTGTCAACCATTGCTTCTTGGTCAAACCAAGGATGCTTGTTTTCCTGGAACACCCCAAAATCTAATTTCTTCAACATGTAACTTGGAACTCTGATATCTCTAGCTGGTACAACATTATGCTACAATACTTGACTGAAAGTGCCTTAGAACTGGGTCTACAGAAGTGCTGTCACAGAATATCTAAGGTCTTGCCTAGTAAGGTCAATAGATCCTTTTCAAGTGTTAAGTTTGCTCAGTCCCATACTGGAGAGGTTAATGCTCAGAGTGGACAAGGGCTTAAATACTGAAGTTATTACTGAACTGGTTTGCTTAGTGTTGTTCTGCACCTGAACAAGCTGTAATTCCAGTTTTTGAGCTTTTTGGAATTCTATCTCCCTTTGAAAACTCTGGTTTTATGCCTTTCTTGTAGCTTTCAATGTGATCTGCTCATCACTGTGAGACTGTCTGAGTTCTGAAGAAATTCTCTTTTCCATCACATCTTCCTGCATGTGGTGGGTGTTGCTTTGCTGTGCAGGCCCAGCCTGGCTCACCTGGATTCTCTTTGGGCTTCCTGGCAAAGCATCATCCCAGGGAGAACTGTTCTGTTCTGCCTGCAGCTCCCTCTCTTTCCAGCCATGGGGGATTCACCCAGGACATCCGGCTGCATCAGGATGCTGTGCTGGGTTCTGCAGCACTGCCTGGCTTTTCAAAGGTCCTAATACAAGTGATTCCCTGAGTGTGATACTCCTGCCTGTGGGTCCTGCTTTCTCACAGAAAAAGGAGGGGGTTGTTTTGCCCTTCAGAATACCTGAATGTCCCTCCTCCCCTCCAGTGGGAACAGGGCTCCTTTGTAAGATGCTGCGAGAGTTCCTTTTGGGAGAGCATCAATAAACAAACCTTTCTTTGTAACGTGTCAGGCTGGGAGGCAGTGGGGAGGTGAAGGTCTGTACCCCTACCTGTCTGCAAGGCAGGGGTAAGGAACCAGGCTGTTCACTGCCCCTCCAAGGAGTCTCCCTCTCCTGACCTACAGCAGGTATCTGGGCTGAGCAGAGGAGGCAGAGCAGTTCAGCTCTCAAGGTGGAAGTGCCCTCCACTATGAGGGACATGCTCATCTCTCATCCCTCACCTTGTTTGTGTGAGTATGGAAGGTTCCTAATTGTCCTGGAGCATCCCAGATACCTTTCTCAGTGTCCAGTCTCACTTCCAGCTTGGGAGTGAATGCACTGCCTTGCATCCATCCAGAGGGCTTAATCAGCTCCAGATAGTTTTGTTTTGCATAAATAACTCAACAGAGGGGTGGGGTGTGCTCTCTCATCCCTCGCTTGAGCCACATCAGGGTGTAGTCAGTGCCTTGCTGCCTGCAGAGCCTACAGACCTGCATCTCCCCTCTCCTGTGTAAGGGAGGGTCAGAAAACAAAGGGTTTTGTAAAGGGGAAGAAAAGCAAGCCCCATGTTTCTGATCTGGAGCAAGTGGAAGGAGAAGGGACTCACCTTCTTCAGTTTCATGTTGTCCAGGTGGAGTGTCTGCAGGTATCGCCCGAAGGACTGGAAGGCATTGTCGGGGATGACCTCAATTGGGTTATGAGAAAGTTTCAGTTCCTCCAGCACTCTCAGCTTACTCATTGCATTCACAGGGTAGCTGCTCAGCTGGTTCTTGTCCAGGTGGAGGACAGCAAGGTTTTCTACATCCTCCATGGCCCCAGGTAGGAGGTTGGTGAGGGAGTTGTCAGAGAGGAAGAGCCAGCGCAGATCTTTAGCCCCACTGAAGACCCCTGGTTTCAGCTCCTGGATTTTATTGCTGCCCAAGTGCAGGATGAAGAGGTTGACAAGAGGGGAGAGGAGCCCTTTGGATAGGTCTGGGATCTTGTTCTTGTCCAGGTATAGGTAGGTGAGATCAGAGAGATCATCAAAGGCTCCTGGCTTTATGACACTGATCTGGTTGTCGGTGAGATAGAGGTACACCAGGCTCTTGAGCCCCCGGAAGGCTCCGCTGGAGATCTCCTTGATCCGAGAGCTCTGGAGGTGCAGGGACACCAGCTTTTTCATGTCACGGAAGCCGTTGGTCGGCAGGATGGGGAAGTTGTTCCTCTGCAGGTTGAGAAGCCGTGTCTGCTCAGGCACTTTGGGGATCTTCTTCAGCCCCACGTTGTCACAGATGACGTGCTGCAGGTCTCCGCCGTGGCAGTGGCAGCTGGGGGGACATGCCTGCATGGTGGAGACGAGACATGCCAGCAGGCTGAGGACACTGAGGAGGAAGCCTGACCCATTCATGGTCAGATCTGGAATTAAGTGTGGTGGGAAGAGAAGCGGGAGGAGGAGAGCGACGGGTGGGAGAGAGAGAGAGAGTAACCGGGTTTGCAGCATACTGAACACAGCCCTATTTATAATGTTATTAAAAAGCAAAATCCCTTCCCACAAACCACAGGCAGCAGCCAGTTGGAAACAACTGGCTTTGGGAACTTACTGTGAGCTTAACCCCTTGGCACCAGGCAGAGGAGTGTCCACGGCCCTTCCTGGCCCTGCTGCTGAGCGATGTGCAGGAGTAGTTTTCATCTCTGGAGGAAAATGGGAGGCAAATACCCAGGAAGAACCAATGCAGACCGGCTCTGTGGAGAAACTCTCTGGTCCCTGCTGAGCAGGGCCCAGATTCATCTGGGGGAAAACAGCCTGCTTTGGTTGAACAGCGTAGCAGGGAGCACTGCTGAGCTGCACAGCCACCTCCTGCTGGAGCTTCCAGCAGATTCTGAGGTTCTGTTTAGCCTCGGCTGGTTTGGGGAGAAGCACCTGGTCTTGTTCTCACAGAGGGGTGTTCCTGGTGGGGGGGGTGGGTGCCTTTTTTCACTGATTCAAGAGGGGTTTGCCTCAACAGGGATTGGAGAAAGTGGGAGTACAATGGGGTCATGCCGAAGGCCAACAGCGCAGCAGTTGCTCTTGCAATGCAAAATTTTGAGAGAGCTGGCCAAGAAAGGGAGTGCAAAGACAGTCTTAATTTCTGCTGTGTCTTTTCTTATGAACAGTTGAGGATGATATGGTCATGGCCAGGATACCTGGTGCCTGCCAACAAGGGATGGGGCAGCATCAGAGCCTGCAGGGAAGTGGTGGGACACAGGCTGGTGCATATGAAATGCCAGGCACTGGTGTGGAGATAGGTGGCAGTGCCTGTGGCTCTCGAGGCAGAGCTGTGGAAAGGGAAAAGCATTGGCATTGGTAAAGGGATGGAGGGGTTAGAAGAACAAAAGAGTCACTGCTGGAGCTGGGAGTGGCATCTGCCTTGGCTCCTGTCTTAGGGTAGCAGTGGCAAAGGTGAATTAACACCACAAGGGATGTCCCCTGCTCTCCCAATAAAGAAGGCTAAAGCAAAGCAGTTAAAAGCCCCAGCGCCTGCTTCTGTGAGTGTGAAGAGAGAGATCCAGGGGTTGCAGGGTGGGGTTTGGAATTGGAACATTTTGAACTGATTTCCAGCCAGTTCCTGGCTGCAGCAAACAGCTGAGAGCTGAGCATATAACTGTGAGCTTGTTGAGATTTCTGCTCCTGAGGCTGGCTGCAGAGCCCTAGTGGAGCCTGTGCCGAGGCGAGACGGGCTCAAGAAAGGGAGGAAATCCAAGGGCTGACTTAGGACACAGACGGACTTATTCACTGAGATTTCTGGGTTTTTCCATTGTTGCAGAGAGGAATCTGCTGGCGCCGCCGAGCGTGCTCTGGGCCGTGTTATGCAAATGGCCTGGCAGCCCTGCTCTGGTCAGCAGCTGTCAGTCTGAGCAGTGTTTGCACTGCAGGACTAATTTGGGGGAGAAAATAGGCTTCTGGGGTGAGAATGTGGTTCTGGTGAGCCTGTGGCCAAACGATGATGTCATGTGGGACCGTGGTGCAAACCAGGCCATCTCAGGCTTTCAGTGTTTGTCAGCCCTGAGCTGTGATGCTGTGGAGCAGCTCACCTCAGCACCAAGAGCTTCTCACCTCTGGAGAGATGCTCTGACCTTGAGAGCTCCATGCTTCTGCTGGAGGGACCTCCTGGTTACTGTGGGATTTAAAACTCTTTGATCAAAACCATGGTATTTTGGCTTATGCCTGGTTCAGTAGGCACCACAATGGTCATGCACATACTTTTCTCTCTGGAGAAGCTCTTTGAGTGCTTTGATCAGGACCTTTGAGACAGAGAAGCAAGAGATAGACAGAACCTTCTGTGTTTTCCTTCTTTGTCTCTTCAGTTTGCTGTTCCATGATTCTGATAGTGCTCCTGAGAGTGCTCTGCTCATAAAGCTCAGGCAGGGAGCTGGGGGAATGATTGGAAAAGAAAAAGTATTACCTTTAAAACATCATTTTCTATTTACTAATTTTATTTTTTCTCTCTGAGCAGGTTCAGCCACTTTAATTTTCACTGTAATAATTTGATTAACAATTCCTGCAGTTATATTATCCTGTGCAAGAGCAACTGGTGGGTGATATTTAAAACCCTGCCTGTTTCTGCTAGACACTGAATCTGGGGACTGAATCTGTGCTCCTTCGCTGAGAGTCTGGTACTTGGGTTTCCCGTCCCCTTGCAAAAAAGTCATCTAACAGCTTACTGCGTCTGCAGAGATTTTGGCCAGTGGGGGTCAGGTTGGAGCAAAAAGCTGGTGAGGCCTTGCAAACCCCATCCACAAATACATCCTACCCATATGTATTTCTGGAACAAGACCCTTTTCAAAGGTTAAACTGCTCAAACCTCAAACCTCTTTCTCTTTATTCCTCTCACTTCCATCCTTTTTCTGTTTGCTGGCTGAAACTGCAGATCTGGGGGGACAGAGACACTCTCCCTGCAGGGATGTGTGTGCTGTGGCTGGGGACACCAGTGAAGTGTATCTTCCTTGTGAAAATGCTGGGACATAGCTGCCACGATGCTGGTGTGAGGTGGGAAGCTGTCCCTGCTTCAGCACTCCTGCCAGTCCTGATCCTGAAGTATAGTTTAGGTTATTGTTGGTGCCACAGTGGAGTGGCAGGAGGGAAAAGGTGTCTGCTCCTCAGATCCATTTCTCCAGACTCAAATGGTGAATAAAAGGAAGTTATTTCCTTCAGTATTTTTTGATTTCCATGCCTCGGCAAGCACATTCCTGTGGTGGGAGCTGTTTGGCATCTGCCAGAGCTGGCACCTCTCCCCTGGCTCCAGGCTGTTTGTGTTTTGAGCTGCTCACTGGACGGCTCTGCTCTTCCCACACCGGGTTTTGCAGCCCTCAACTGGCCAGCAAATGTCCAGCCATCCTCAAAATCCTGCCTGGGTCCCACTCGTGGGTGGTTTGCAGTCTGCAGGTGACAATGGAGCAGTGTTGGTGTCCCTGTGCCGCAGTCAAGGGGAGCCGAGTCCTGGCCAGCTCCTGCCTCACACATCCCCTGGGACCAGCACTGCAAGGACATTGCAGGAGAGGCAGGATTATCCTGCCACCTCTCTTTCTTAATTGATTAACAGTTCTGCAAACATTCCTGGTGATTTGCAGATGCTGGGCTCCCCTCCTCTCCTTAGAGGCGTTGTGGGCTAAGCAAATGAATACAGTTTTTGAAGCAGTATAAACACAGATTTGGGGTGTTCCTTTGATGTTGCAGCTCTGACCTGGTTTGATACAATACTGGAGATAGGCTTTTCCATGTTTAATCTTTATTTTTATAAGCATGAACAATTCTGGCATATCAAGACAGCTCCATCATTAAAATAGTCCATTGCTCTTTTAAGCCTGATTCTGTAGCTTTTAGGGGCTCCAGATCTGGTTTCCCGTGACAGTGCAGACTTGCAGTCACCTTCCTGGAGTGACACCAGTGTAGCTGGCCTTGGGTGCTGCCCTCCTCATTTTGGCTGAAGGTGGGGCTCAGGCAGCATCTGGGGGTGTCCTGGAGTGTCCCAGCTCTTGTGGAGCTGAGCCCCTGGCACAGGGTGCTGGGTTGGGATAAGGTGGGAGAAGGTGCAAGTTCAGCAGTGTCCCCTGGATTTGTCCCAAGGGCAGAGTACACTCCAGTCAGTGTTTGAGGAGCTGTGGTGGGTGGGCAAAGGGGAGTCCCAGAGGCTTTCCTGGGTTCCCCTCTCTTCCAGGCAGCTTCTGTCCCAGCAGTAGCATCCAGGGCTCTGAGTTCAGACCTAAATTGCCATTTTTATTTTAAATTCTTGAAGAGTCCCAATCACTGCAGTGTGGGGGCTGCTTGTTGAGATGGAGGAGGTGATGGTGGGTCTACCTCCTTCCTTCTGATGGTTTTCTTCCACTGCAGCATGGCCTCCACCCATTGATCTGTTGCCAGTTTGGCTCCCCATTGATGTCCACCCACCCTTCCCTTCTGCTGATTCCAGCAGCTGCTGGATGAAGCTCTTGGCCTCTCCTGTGAAGCTCACCCAGCCCTTACAGCCTCTCCCAGCCCTGCTGTGTCCACCCTGTGAGGCACCAGATGTTCCCTAGCATCCCACTGCTCTGGCCAGGGCTCTTGTCCTGGTTTGCAGAGCCTTCTTCCTGTGTGGAGCACCACTGATCCATGCAAGACTTCTGACTTGCCCAAATGTTCCCCAAACATTAGACCCCTCTGTGCTCAAAATTGAAAATGGGCTCCATGTGGTGACAACATTTCTGCTTGTCCTTGGCCTCCCCATCCCACCCCACCTTGCTTTGGGGAGGACCTGATGAGTAGGTGGTTTCTGTAGCTGTGGAAATGGGATGTGAAAACATTTAAAATGTGTCATGGAAGCAACAAGATTCTGGACTTCCAGCCATGTGCTTTGTCGGAGCTGAGCTCTCCAAATCCATAGGGATGTTATCTTTGCCCCTGAATTTTTGCTGAGTTTCCTTGTCCAATAGCATCCCAATACCCCCACACCAGTGGTTTTCTACCTTCACGTGACACTTTGTACATTTCCTCTCACTTTTTCATGTTAATTTTCCCAAATGCATTGGCATCAGCACTAGGGAGGATGGAGTTAATTGCACAGCAAAGACCTTTTATCACACTGTGGATAAACCAGTAACTGCCCAGGCCTTTGCTGGCTGCCACTGGGCAGCACTTCTGCACTGCTGGCAGGAAGGGGAAAACACTTCCCAGCCTCAAGGCTTCTGCTTGGCCTGGAAAGAAGAGAGGCAACTTTAACTCAAGACCACGAGGAGCAGCTTGTCCTGCCTGGGCAATAGCAGGAGGTTCATTCCCAGTGCAGTCACAGCCTGGGAACACTGGGTTGTCCTTTTGGGCTCCTCCTGAGGCAAAGCCATTGCGTGCCACAGCACAAAGAAGGTGCTTTGGGCACCTAATATTTCTGGGATCTCTATTAAGCCTCATCCAAACTGGGACTGTCTGGTAGCTCTCTTGGTGGAGAGAGATGTCAGCAGGGTGGCTACCCTTGGAGATTTGTCCTGCAAGACTTGTTTGTTTGTGTCCTGATGTTTTTGACACAAAGATGGTACTGTTGCTGGGGAAGGAAA